CCCGCCGATCCAGCGCTGCCGTGGGTTGACCTCGCGTACTCCACCGGTTACCCCCACGGCGGCTCGGGAAGAACCCAGTTTTTTTTCACGAACCTCTTGGTCGACGACGCCGGCGTTCCCGTCCCCTGCAAGAAGAGACACAGCACATGTGAGTCGGGATTTCCAGGCGCTCGTTGTCCACTCTAACCTTTCTCTCAGGTCAAGGAGTTAAAGCATGTCCCCTCAACGACGTGGAGACGCTTACGGGGCCAGCCCACCACCATACCTCCGCTACGCTCGAAGACATCGAAGTTCGGCTAGCAGCGGACCGTGCTGCTCGTCAACGCCTCTCGTGTCCCCGCCGCGACGTCCTCGTCAAAACCGCGTCGTTCATTACGGCCATACGCACCGTCGGCTGTCACCGCCCCCACCAGCAACCGACACACCGTACGGGCGAAGAGCTCAAGCAGTGGGAGGCAGACCAGGCGCAGAAGCAGTACTTCCGACGCGGGTATAGGCCGCCCCCAATGTGTGAAGGCCGCATCGTCTACCACGAGTATGCCGACCCCAAGTATCCCGATGGTCGGCCGCGCGCATACCTGAGGTGTGTCTGTCGCTGTCTCCTTCTCCGCGTCGCTCACGACTTCACCCTCACTCACAGCTGCGAGCATTACTCGCGCCGCAGCCCTGACCACTTTGCCCATTTTGGCATCCAGGACGGCGGCTTGGACGAGGAATACATCGCCGCTGTCTTCCTGAACAACACGGACGAAATCGCGCGCATCGAAGCTGCGGCCGCCGCGCAAGAAGTGGGTCCTCTGGCGCAATGCAACACCCTCCTGAATCACTCTGCGCAGACCCTATACTGCCGTGAGTGGCCTTCGCTTCCAAACGCGTTTTCTGGGTCATTTATTTTTTTTTCCACAGCGATCGACCACCGTGTCGACGGTCGCCTCGCTCGACACGAGTTGTGTCACCTCGACTGCGCCGTAAAATTCCGCATCTGGTTCCCCGTTGATAAACACCGATGTCCCTTCGTCCTTGTGACGTCCTCGGGCACCCACCGGCATCCCATTCCCCTGCCTGAGAAAACTCCGCAGCGCGCCCACCTGCACATTACGCGCCTCCTCCGCTCTCTGCGCCACGATCTCCCCGACATGACGCCCCGCCGCTTCCTCCGCCATCCGACCGTCAAGACGTTCCTTGCCAACCTCTTCCCCGACCTCGCCAATCCCACGCTCTGTGCGCTCCACCCGTCCCTCGCGAATCGCGCCCATCTCGGCGCGTACATCACGCTTGCGAGGCAGGAGCACTTTCCAAGAGGTACCGATTGGGAAGGTGAATATCTTGCCTTGCATATGTGCAGCAGACGACTTACCAGCGGGTTCGGTAGGCGTGAAATACCTCAAGGCCATCCAGGATCGGGACGTCCCAGCGCACGAGCACTACATCCGCGTAGTCCTCGAGCTCCCCGACGACTCTCTCGACCACCACGAGGAGGACGACGACGCGCCCACCTCGAGCAAGACCACGCGGATAATCATATGCATGACGCCCGATTCGAGCAAGCGTCTACAGCAAGCGCGGTATCTCCAAAGCGACATCGGTTTCAAAAGGATCGTCGGCTTTGACGAGTTCGAGATAGCGGCCATGGACCGTGATGCCAATAAGAGTGCGTATTCTCCTCTTTTTCTCCTGGCAGCCTCAATTTAATTTTCTTTCAGGCGTTGTCTTCTGCCGAGTGTACCTTACGCGCCAAACCGCCGCCGCGCATCAGCGGATCTTCGACGAGCTCAGCAAAATCGTCGAGAAGGACACCGGGACCCCGCTGCTGTGGCGCCATCTCCACGGACAAACCCCCGACGACTGCCGTGTCGGACTTATACTCCAGTGGGGCGCCGACCAACATCGCGGTCAAGCCAAAGGTGCGTTATTCTAGTCTCCCCGTCCTCCCCGTTCTCATTATCTGCAGGCCTCGGACTGCACCTTGTCGCCCGAGCCGCTCAGCTCCCCGCTGACGCCATGGACATGCATGAGCCGCATCGCTCGCTACGCTCGCTCACCCCATATGAGCATCTGCAGCGCGTTTACCGTGTCTGCCGAGTCCACAACTTCCGCAATATTCAGCAGTGCGCCGTCCCCGAGGTCGTCCGTCAAAAAATGTGTTCTCTCGCGTGCGAAATCCACCCGAACTGGGAGAACACCCTCGAGCAGATCCGTCGTGAGGGCGGCAGAGCCGGTCTCGGTACGTCCCCACCTCCACTACTTCTCTCTCCCGCTCATGGTCTCAGACTGGGTTCGCGACAAGGAAAGCAGTCAATTCGCGTTCGCTGGCATCTGCTGGCAACGCAGCTTCATCCCCATCGACGTCTGGCGCGCGGGGGACGCACACACCAACCTCATCGAGACTGTTCATCGGGACGTCAATCGCGAAGGTGTCCACTGCACCCTCCTGGGCGGGTTACTGCGCGGGCAAGACTACGACGAGATGCAGCGAGTCGCGCTGAGGGTCAGTGCTTACTTCGTCCCCCACCTCTCCTTGCCCTTACCCCCTTGGCGCAGGAATACGAGGCGCACGGCATCCACCGCTCCTATCACGCCGCCCATCCCGTTACGAATGCGGTAAAAAATGTGATACGACGAAGTGAGCGGCCCCTCTACTGCGGGGTATTGGCCGAATTCTGACCTCACGCAGGCAACAACCAAGCGCACCGTGTAGAAGCGCAAAGTCGGGGCGTCGCGACGCACAACAAGAACATGCAGAAATTCGACCAGCAATACCGCGCAGCTCTGAAGCAGCTGGAGCATTTGCTCCGTCTTGTCGATGCTCCGCACCTTAGGGCGGGTGAGGCGCAGAGGGCGGTCCGGCTTCAGATCGAGAACGCCAAGGCTGCCGTGCGCTCCGCCTCCGCGAAGTACGATCATCAGGTGCAGGTGGGCCAGCAGCTGCGGGACGAGGGGCGGGCGGGCGTTATGTTACCCAAGGCCCCTTAGGTTTTTTGTGCTTGTTTTTTTTATTCACTCATGTATGTATTCAATTTTGCTATAGCAGAGCCCGCCATTCCCTTCCGCGCCTCTTTCACTCCCGCTGCCCGCCTCCGTCGCCGCAAACCGTGGTGCGGCATTTTCCGGACGTTTGATCGCCGTCGCCCACATGGCAGAAACGTGGCGGAACGTGGTGTGGCGTCGTCTTCTCAGAACGACCACGCCACGACTCTCTGCCATTTCCTCCTCTGCCATTTCCTCCTTTCCCCCTACTCTGCGTTTCCTAGCTGCTCTTGTCTGCGATCCCGGTCGCGCGTTCTGCTCGTCACCCCGCTCCGCCTCGTCGCCCCGCTCCGCCTCGTCCCCACTCTGCGTCGTCTCGAGCGCGACACCTGGCACGGCCACGTCCAGTGGCGCCGACGTTGGCAACGACTTCCGCCTTTCTGCCCAGCAACCCAGGTCTCCGCCGACTTCTCATTCAGGCCCCATACCTCGTGCACGGAGCTCGCCGCGTCTTGGCTCTTCTGCGACCACGCCGTCCGAGGTCCGCCGCGCTGCCCACTTCTGCTGCCGCTGGAGCGCTCGACGGTCGCAAGCAACGCCTACTCCCCCTGCTCCCCCTCATCCGCCTCGCGAGGGTAGCTCCTGGTCGTATGCCGCCTGGTGCACGGCGGCCTCCAGCGAACCGGGGACGGCGACCTCCCGCAGCGAGCGCGCGTGTCGAATGTCGACTTCCGCCTGTCCATGGAGGTCGACTTCCGCCTGTCCACGGCATTCGCCGCCGACTTCTAATCCAGGCCCTGGGGTCGTGCAGCTTCCCTCCCTGTTGGCCGTCGAAGTCCAGCTCGTCCGATCTCCGCCGTCCGGCTCCTTTATATATCGTGAGTCCCCCATCGCCCGACAATTATCTCTCACTCACGATGACCCAGACACAGTACTACACCTCGCTCCCTCGTCCTCAGGACATCGTTCCTCCACCCGCGCCCGCTGGTGCTTCGACCGCCGCGCCTGCTGGTGCTTCGACCGCCGCGCCTGCTAGTAGTCGGACCGCCGCCCGCTCCACCCGCCCGAACGCCTCCGTCACCGCCGCCAACCTCGCCGCCGCGTCCGCCAACCTTGCCAACACCGCTGCTGCCACGGTCCTGCAATGGGCACCCGCGAACGTCGTCCCCGCCACACCCGCTCACCATTGCGTGGGCGGCCGCTGCGATATCTGCCACGCGCAGCATCTCGTTGTTTCGCAAAACGCTCACGGTCCCAATGGACCGCATACTGGGCCTCTCCCCCACCGCCGCACGTGCACCCCGCCGTTCTGCCCCGACCACCCCGGCATCGACGTCCTGACGCACTCCCTCGAGGCCGGCTGCATGTTCTACGCGGCCATCCCCGCGCGTAACGAGGCCATCTATACCTCCGCGTACGTCTCTTTTTTTCTTTCTTCTTTTTTGTCTTTGCTTACGATTGCTTTCCAGCCAGACGGCCCGTGAGCAAACCGAGGGCGTCCACAACGGCGTCGCCAAGTCCGCGAAGACCTGGGACGAGGCGAAGGGACATTGGGTCCTCGGCTGCCTCCGCTGGCACGGCAACGAGTGCCGCCGTGAGCGTCTTCAGCGCGCCGACGCGACGGGCAAGAGCTGGGCGGTCCTCGGCACGGACATTATCTGTGGCTCCAGGTGAATCTTTATTTTTCCTCCGCCGTGGACCCTGCTCACCATCAGTTCCAGAGCGGCCGCCTTCCGCATCGCCCAAGACCGCGGGTTCGACGACATCCGCATCCGCGGCCACCGTGACGCGTCCGTCCTCCGCAACTGGCTGGAAAACGGCAGCAGCGACGAGGAGTTCTCCGACGACGACTAGTTGCGCGCCGCGGGAGGGTGGGTGGGCCAATGTATTATATCTACTATGTTCTGTGCACGCCGTATACTCTGTATGAATACTTTCTTGATTCAAAACATGTTTTTTCGCCGTTTTTTTTTTAATGCAAAAAAATTATTATTGATACGAACTAGTTCTCGTATGATGCAAGGCTTCAATATGGCTCTCTGGTGTAGTGGTAGCGTATCATCCAGCAGTTTTGGTTTGTCCCACTGCCCGATGAGAGGGTCGGTTCGATTCCGGCGGGAGCCATCCATCCTCTATCGTTGCATTTTTAGCGTCTTGACGATTTTTTTTTTTTTGGGTGGCCTCAGATTCCCAAGTACGAAGACGCTGTGTGTTTTCTTATATTTCTTCAGCCATAGGAGATAGATTGTGGCATTCAATTTAGAAATAATACGGAGGACAGGCGTATGGTATATAATATATACGTTGGAGGCTGAAGTCGCGTTCCTGCGAGCCCGTATCGAAGGGAGCTTGTGTTCAAAAGGTTCTGACGGCCGTCGTGCACGCAACGAGCGGTACCTGCGTGAGTTTGTATAAGCCAGGGGAAAGAAGGAAGGCAATGGAATAATTCGGGCATACCTCTACAGAGTTAATGGACCAATGAAACGCGCCAGGGATCGTGGAACTTGTGAGACGAGAAATGCAGCGGAGGCGGGGCAATGCGCCGGAATGAAGTCGAACGCGCCAATCGAGGCTTTCCCGGGCGATCGCTCCTGCTAAGACGGTGCTCGTCAACGTCCACCCACGGCGCTCATCGTCAATTCACTGCGCACCTTGTCCTTCTCACCGCGGCGGCATCCCGTCCGCGTCTTGTGCCCACCATCTCGTCGCCGCCCACTGGTCTGCCCACCATCTCGTCCTGCGCACCATCTCGTCGTAACCCACCACCTCGTCGCCGCCCGCTCGTCTGCCCACTATCTCGTCGCCGCCCGCTCGTCTGGCGCACCATCTCGTCGCCGCCTGCTCGTCGCCGCGGTCGTCCTCGTCGCCGCCCGCTCATCAGCCGCGGCGCTCGTTCTCTGTTCGCACCTCTTCGTCCATTGCGCTCGTCGTTCGCGGCGCGCTCGTCGTTCACGGCGCGCTTGTCGTTCGCGGCGCTCATTCTCTTCGCACGTCTTCGTCCACGCCCATCGCCCATCGTCCTCGAATGGGGCAAACCCGCCGCTCGCGCTTGGCGCCCTTTTTCGCCGCACGCACCGCTGCCGGTCCGCAACCCGCATTCGGCTCGCTCGCTCATCTGTGGGTTCAAGGTCGCCTCCCTGCGCCGGGTCAGTGCTGATTTCTTCAGAACGAATCCCTATCCGAACGACGCGGATGGTGTGGCGTATTTTCTGCGACGCGACAACCGAGCCATCCGGCGCGCCTACAAAAAAGGGAATATTTCTAGATCTGCCTACCTCGCGGCCAGGGAAGTTAAGGCCGGTCATTCCAAGAACTTCGCGCGCCGTCGGCGCGGGTATCGCAAGTGCGAGAAGGAGTGGAAGTTAACCTGGAAATTTTCAATCCAGACCCCGACGCGCATGTTAATCGGTGCGTACATTGGGTCCCTTCCACCGTACGCTTTTGACGCGCGCCGCAGAGGCGTTGATACACGAAGACCTTCGGCAGCATAGGGCGGCCCGCGTGCGCTGCTCATGCGTGGTTTGCCATCTGGAATTTTACCGTTCACGGGCCGTCGGCGGGGTGCGGGGTCTGGTGGACAAAGGCGTCGAGTGGATGCAGCTTTTGGGTCAACTTCCTGTCGTTCGGGCGATTCCGTAAATGTAAATACTTAATATCGCGCGAGGGGTTGTTCATAGTATCCTGTATATTCTGACATTCTCGATTTGTTACATGTGGAACTGTGCTGCGCTCAAAAATCAGAATACAAAGCCGTCGAAGCAGGTTCGACTCACCGCGACTTTTCCAAGATTATAGCTTGCCTAGATTTCGTTCATCACCGGCTCCTTCATTTCTGCGTTGAGGGGTGCGCCCGCCAACGTGTCTTCTGAGGCACGGCTGGCTTCTGATGAGGATTGCAGCGCATATTGTGTGACTCTCGCAGACTGTGCTCACCTAAAAGACGATCCCCTTCGGCGTAGTGATTCTTTTTGGCGATCGCGCGCGGTTTTCGGGTTTTACCCTGGGTGGAGCGCTGTTTGGTGGTTCAGGACATTCCCAAGGTGTTTCTGGTAGTCGGGAGCGTACAGCAGGAGTGGCCAGCCCAGGAAGTGCGAGCCCAAATTCTTCTTCAGCCTTGCGCAGCTCGACGAGGAAAGTTTTGTCTTCATTTTCGGAGTCTGAGTCCAGTTGGACCGGAAAGTTCTTGGGAGAGCGTGGAGTGAACGGAGAGCTGTCCCGCTCGAGCTTCAACGTGAGAGTGGCAGGGTTGGTTTTGGAGGACATGGTGGTAAACGAAGAGAGGTGATGGGATCACTCAGCATCGCCACTTCCCGACTTATCACCAACCACCATCGTCGCCGGAGGTCGGCCACAGCGCGTGCGGAGGACCTTACCACAGGCCCACGTTTCGCGCTATGACCCGCGAACCTCAGGGCGATCTCTGGCGCCGCTACAGTCACCCTCGCGGGTACGCGATTTTTTTTTCTGTTTTTCAAAACCGACCCCCCCACAGATCCCTCTAGAAAAAAAGAAGACTCTCTGGGCACGTTACCCAGCGCAGCTAAACCGCAGTCAACCCAGCGCTTGCTTTACTACTACTACCACCACAATGTCGAGCCCCCCGACCCCGACCATCAGCCTGCGCAGTGGTGAAAAAGCCAGGGCGTGGCCGAAACCGAAAGCTCATACCGACTTGATCCACCCACAAGTCTACAAGCCCCTCGAGCCGCTACTGGGACATGAAAATTGCACGTTCGACATTTACCCGCACGATAACTTTATGGACCACAAATTTCAAAACTGCGATGGACGCAAAAAATACTTTACGGCGGCTGAGGGGCGGGACGGCATCATCACGATATACACAGAACAGTATGTCCTCATACCCTCCGTCCACAGCGCGCGCTAAGTAATACCGTCAGCTCGGCGGCCTACGCCGCGCAGCGCACCGGCCAAGATCCTCACTCATTCAAGAATAGAATAGACCTCGATACGTACCTCACGATGAACTATTGCCACTACAAGGACCCGCCCTGCAAGCTCGCGAGCAGCGCCGCCCCCACCAACGCCGTCGCAGGCCCAAGCGGCGGCGCCAGCGTCGACGCATGCGGCGGGCCCAGCCCCAGCCCAACCCGCGGCCACAGCGCCACACCATCCGCGCCCGGTGCTCGCCCGAGCACCCCCCAATCCGACGACGACACGAGCTGGCGCTCCTCCGTGTGGTGGTGCCTCCAACAGTCCTCAAAGGTCGTCTTCCTCACGCGCAACAAGTACGTGATCTCGTTGTTCGTGGGCGCCTCATTGCCTAACCGGTGTCTGTAGACGGGCCGTGGAGACAATGCTCAACGACTGCGTCGACGTGGTCGCTCGACCGAAGTTCAACGACGCAGTGGCGAAAGTACGGGAGATGATGGAGCTGAACCCTGGCGACCGCCTGAGATACGTCTCTCAGGACGGCGAAGTTACAATTGACCGGTAAGTTCTCCACACATCTCACAAATTCATCCAATCTTTTAACCCATCATGTTTAGCGAGGCGGCGTACAACGCGTACATCAAGACCGAGATGCAGGGGAGCGCGCTCTGTTGCTGCGCCGACATTGAAGCCGTCGAGGGATATATCGCAGTGCTCGTGGACGACGGGCTTCTATGACTGCAGGTACGCCCTTCGTCTGTATTTGTTGGCTCGTTCTAACTGCCCTCGCTTCTCTCCCCATAGTTCCTCCTCCACGACCTCTCTGTTCCACTTGCTGCCGCCGAAGTGCCCCTGTTTTTTCAATGTACTATCGAAATCTACTTGACGCCCTACTAGCTATATCGTATTATCTTTGTATTCAATCGAACGTTTGCTTTTCGTCCTATCTGGTGCGATACTGGGTACCCCGCCCGTCCGCTAAGATAATTGTATCACCCACCGGCGACACTGGTCGCCTACTGGCGACTGATATCACCTACTTGAGACGCTGTTGGGGCATCAATTCCGACTTTTCTTTTTTTTGTGGCCACCGTCGTGCCCCGCGCCGCCGGCTCTTGGTTCTCCATGCATTCCTTACATGTTGGGCAGCTGTCCGATTTTTCTGGGACTTTTAAAGAAGTGTTTCGTCGACTTGAAAATGTGCCGACCATGGTCACATCGTGATCAGGATTCTCTAGAGGATCTCGACACAAGTATGGTCGTTAATTTTTTTTTGGGGGGGCAAGCCGGGCACATTTCAAGATTCACTACTTATTTCTCACTGTAGAATCACAACGGTTTACAATTCAATATATATTTTACATTCACAATCGACATTTAACAAGTACGGCTAGACGAAGTCCAAGAAAAAAGAGTGCAGCGATGCATAGACCTACGCCAACCAAGACGGCCCCGGCCCCACCTTGCCCGCCGCTTCCCGCTTGGCGCGAACCTCTTGCGAGCGACGCTCGTGCTTCAGCTGCTGCTTGGCGCGGGCGATCGGGTCCGTGCGACGCTTCTTCTTCGTAGCTGCGTGCTTGCGCGCTTTGTCGCCCTTAAGGCAGGCTTCCTGCTCCGCGGCCGACTTCATCGCCCACTCGAGGTTGACGGGTTTGGTGCGTTCGCGGCAGGTCGGGCCTGTACATGGGTCAGCCGTAATACCCCGGGCGCTGGAGACGAGGACTTACAGCGTAGACTCTTCGTGCACGAGGCGTTCTGTTTCCTGTGCCACCGTTCCACGCATCCCTACTCGCAAAAGCATAAGTTCTTCGCGGTTTAGACAACGCGAGCGAACTCGAGCCACGCACCTGATGGAATATCGTGTCGCGGCATCCGCACGACAAGATCACCATTGCCCTGCCTTCTGCAAGGCATACCTGTGGAGGGGTATACTGACTTGTGAAACCTAAAAAAAGCCGACGAACCGTGCAACGGAGCTTGCGAGCCCAGTCAGGCTCTTGCCTGTCCTGCTTCGCGACTCGTTGGAGCAATCGGAGGCTTGTCTTGGAAGGATCATTGAGGCTCGGCTCCTCCTTGAAATAGGCGATCATGGCCTGGATGCGCCGTCCGACTGAGTAAGTCCGCCAGAAGAAATAAGTAGGAACGTACGTTGTCCCGCTCCCTGTTTTTTTTGACGCCCTCCTTGAATGGGGGTTGGACGAGATGGAAGCGCTTGAGATATGCGACATGGT